CTAAAATTTTACTAACTGTGGTCTAAATAAATGATAAATGAGCATGTATTTATTAATTTCTTCGAAATCACGAGTGTGCCAATAGTGGAAGCCGTATCGACGATGAAATTAGGGAGCTTTAGATTTGACTACGAGTACGACTACGAGTACGAGATTCGTCAAGCTAAACGCATGCTGTATGCTTACGCCATCCCGTGCTGACGCGAAAAAATCGTAGCCGTCGCCCATCTGAGTACGAAATTGTGGAGAAACCTCGTAGTCCTCACGACGACTTTTCAAAAAAACAAAGAAAGTTGGCTTTTTTTTTTTGTTTTCCAAAAATAATCTGTAGCATTTATATAACGTTTATCCGGCGCAAATAATATATTAGTACTAAATGGCCTGTTTTTAATGTTATGACTTATTTACACGTTTTGTAGGGGATTTTAGTCTGCAGGAGATTTAGTTTATGAAACTTTTTCTCTCGTTGTTGGTTTACTGCTATAAAAACAACATTTGAGTGAAAACGAAAACGACCACGGTAATTTCCTCGCACGCGATTAAATCTCGTACTCGTAGTCGTACTCGTAGTCAAATCTAAAGCTCCCTATTGTCTGCAGTTTATACAGTAAATAGTACAACATTTAATGTACGATATATATTTATCTAAATAACATGCCAGCGACTCAGCGAGGATCAACAATATAATTATTCGTACATATTTGGGTATCTTTTGTATGCCTTCGCTTGCTGACTTGCTCACTAATGAGAATAATCCGTGAAGCCACGACGACCTCAAAATGTAGTACTATAGTCTGATGTCAATCCGAAGACGAAGTTCAGAATACTGTTATAGTATTGAATTTAAGCGATAGATTCAAGTCATTTATGATAGACTTTTTTGCTGTGATGCTTTGCTATTGCTTTTGGTTTCCATTTCCAGTTTTATTTGTTCGATAGTCTTATAATATATAATATTAAAATGAATAAAGTTCAAATTCTTCAAAATGCTGTTGTTGACATTTGCTATTTTTAGTAATTTTGTCAACGAGTGTATGCCAATCAGAAGCCTGCGTTTCTATACGAACGCCAGTACCAAGAAAACCTATAGTTCCGTGCAGACCCTCTATTCTTCGCGCCGCCCGTAACCCAGGGCCTGTTCGCAGGCTAATGTTTTGTCAGACTGTGTATATATGTCATGCTTTGTCAGAACTGTCAATGTTGCCGATACCAACCCCAGGTTTTTAAATGACATGTATGAGTTGTTGCAAGTTGGGAAATTTCTTCCATTCGGAGGGAAAATGTACTGACAACCATGCACAATTGAGTGGTAGTCGGGAGTTTCCAGCACAAATATATATATATATATATATGAACCGTCAACATGTTACTCTATTGGTAATGCTAGATCTTAGCTCCACATTCGACACCGTTGATCATGACATCCTGCTTCGTAGACTGAATCATGAATTTGGAATAAAGGGGCGGGTTCTAGAGTGGTTTACTTCTTATCTCAGTAAACGTTCTCAATTTATTTCAGTCAACGGTGGCCGATCTAGACTTTTTGATGTATCATGTGGAGTCCCTCAGGGATCATGTTTGGGTCCCCTACTATTTGTACTATATGTTAGTAAACTGTTTAGCATTGTGGAAAAACACCTACCTGATGCTCATGCATTCGATGACGATTCACAGCTCTATGTATCGTTCAAACCAGATTCGACATGTGATCAACTTGCTGCAGTTGCTGCCTTAGAACATTGCATTGATGTTATAAAGGATTGGATGCTCTCTGATAAATTAAAGGTTAATGATGGTAAAACAGAATTTCTAATCATTGGAACTCGGCAACAACTAGCGAAGGTCAACTTTAATTCTTTGAGAATTGGCGACAATTCTATCAACTCGATCGACAAGGCAAAGAATTTGGGATTCTGGTTTGACTCGCAGATGAAAATGGTAACTAACATAAGCAAGTGTTCAAGTGCTTCTATTCCGTTCTAGGGACCATATTCCTCTTTTTCTTGCTTATCTCAATCGCCAACATCCTAACATTAACTTTACTTGTGAAGTTGAATCCAATTGTCAACTTTCCTTCCTTGACATCACTATTACACGAACTAATGGCCATTTTGAACGTAAATCCACGTTCATAGGGCTTTTCACCAATTTTCAGAGCTTCACTCCCCTACAATTTAAACGTGGTTTAATATATATTCACTATTATACCGTTTTTTCAATATTTGCTCTAACTATGAGAATTTCCATGCTCAGATTGAGTTTTTTAGAAAAATTCTCAACCAGAATGGTTATCCTACTCGTCTCTTTGATCGTTGTGTTCGACTCTTTCTTGATAAAACTTTTCAACCCAAGGAATTAATCCATTCTGTATCGAAGAAAGTGGTATACTTTTGTCTCCCATATACCGGAACACACTAACTGGAGATAACATATTCAAAATCCCACAAATAGTTGCAAGAGCTTCCCTACCTAAGCCCAGCTCACCTATAGCAAAATGAGAAGTTACTATCGCCCGAAAAGTGCGGCCTCACCCCCAAGGGATCAAAGGCAGCATGCGCAATTTACTGAATGAGGGGCTATTTATATGATCCCGCTTTGCCAGGACGAGATATGAGGCGCCGGGCCGGGGTGATTTCGATATATTGAAATAAGTCGCGATGCACGATTCAGCAAAAGACTTCATTTTCTAGAGGTGGATTATAGTTAACTGTAAACGAAAGGTTGTTCAAAAAGCTATAAAAATTTTCTGAACAAGGTGCGCCGGGGACTGGGCACGAAAAAGCAAGAACGTCATGTAACGTCAAGAATAGGGAGCTGCCTCGCTACGCTTGGCAGCAATTAGTTCTTTGATTGACATCATCATGCCTTTCCCTCGACTAGCTTCGATGTATCAATTCTGTGCACTTAAAATAATAACTACTGCTCAGTCCAGCACGTTTTGAAGCATCTTCACAAGTTATAATCTTCATTAAAGTTCCATTTTTACACTTATGGATGCTCTCAGCAGTTCTCCTAATGTTTTCAGTACAAACAATCCGATGAAGGCTGGTAGATTTGGAGCAATGAACATGACTTTCCTTCTAAACATTATCTCCATCTTCGCAAATACTGAAAGAATAACGTGTTCCCTTTGAAAAGGTTTTTTTTTCTTTAACTTGTTTTTCACACGAAACGTTGTTCCTTCTTTGGAACTTTTTAGCATTATTACAAACCAAAAATGCAACAAAATATAGCGGCAAAATATAAAATTTAGCAGGATATATTCTCAAAGCCTCGCGCTCTTCAAAGTTGAAATATGTAAATTAGTAAAATTATGCAATTGTGGTATGTCCCTATATGCCTCTCATATCCATAATACACAGCATTGATATCTTACAGTAAAACGACTTTTTGAGAAGATTTTTGAGGCCCGTTTCCCTGTTAACCTGGTGTAAACATTCAATAAAATCTCAAGTCGTTTCTCTAAAGTGCATTTTTTTTCCGTAAAACGTATGGAAATGCAAATTTTGAGGTGAAGCTCCCCCTTAAGTGAGGAAAGTTGCTATCTTGTTGTAACTCACCAACTTATGTTTCAGTTTGCAAGCAAGTGGAAGGAAACTGCATATTGCCGCTAATTAATTGTTTCATCTTTTGGTTTCTGTACTGAAAGTTGTCGCACGTCTGCTAGGGATTTTATCTTTTATCTTCAAAGCAGACTTGACACTGCCCACATGTCTGGATTTTGATAGACTTTCTCCAAGTCTCTCTTTTGTCATTTAGTATCGATCCACTATACATGCAGGGTGTATAAAAAAACTGAACAGATATGAATTTCCTCTCAATTTCGAAAAACAGCTATAAGTATCCAGTTTTTGATGTACATAGCTTCTTTGGGTACTTATAATGTACATTATTGAAAAATATTTCTCGAACTCAAATTTTGTGAACCAACAAACTAAAAATGGCTTGCGCACGAAATTTAAAAGCTTTAATCAAACTTTGATGTTGGGTTTTTAATTACTGTACAAAATTTCAGACAATTTACTTGAGTTTAAGCCCTTTAACTATTCACGCAAAACTTACATGTTTTCCTAAAAAATCAGCTATTTGCATGCTTAATTATGCATTTACCTAATTTGCATATGTCAGCAATATGCAAATTAGGTAAAGGCATTAATTAAGCATGACTAAAGCAAATTGCCTGAAATTTTATGCAGTAATAGACAACTTGCATGTTAGGCTAATTTTTGATTTAGGCAAAAAAAGTAAGTTCCCGTAAAGAACTTATTAAAATTAGTAAAATTGCAAAATTTGGTTACGAAATGTTGTGAAATATAGAAAATATAGCCTTGTGAAGTTTGCATATTTTCAGTATGTTCGTATTACGTGCGGAAATTGTTACCATTTTTGAGCCGAAAATGGTAACAATTTCCGCACGTAATACAAATATACTGAAAATATGCAAACTTCGCAAGGCTATATTTTCTGTACTTTACAACATTCCGGAGCCAAATTTTGCAATTTTATTAATTTCATTATGTTCTTTTTAACTGTTGTGTTTTATTCCATTCTCTTTGCTTAGAGTAAAATTTAGTCTAACATGCAAGTTGTCCATTACATCCCAACAAATTTTCCATCTATCAACTCAAAATATGATTAAAGCTTTTAAATTTCGTGCGCACGCCATTTTTAGTTTGTTAGAAAAGACTCCCCCCCCCCCTGGTTCCCAAAATTTGAGATCGAGAAATTTGTTTCATTACTCTACATTATAAGTACCCAAAGAAGCTGTATACATCAAAAACTGGATACTAATAGCTGTTTTTCGATATTGAGAGCAAATTCATATCTGTTCAGTTTTTTTTATATACAACCTGTAGTGTACATCACACATGACGTAGTACAGAGGGGCGGAGCGAGAAAGAGAGACTTGTCAACTTCGTAAATGTCGGTTCAAAACTGAACCGAAAATGCAAGACTTGCTTTAATTGTTTTCTTTCAATTTCTTTCTGTGTTATTTACTATAATGGAACTCATGTTATTTACACTGTGCTAGATCAATACATATAAACACTGACAGAAAACAATTAAAGCAAGTATTTAGACTTAATCATATTAGGAAATCATTTTAACCAAACTTGTCAATCTAGTTCCTTTGCATCTTTGCATCATCTTTGTATCAGGGAGTCTTTGCCCTGCAAGTACTTTGGTTTCCTGCCAATTGAAGATCTGCGCAGCAGATATACTATGCTATCGAGTTTGCGTTAGCTGTTAGCTTGGAGCTAATCAGTGACTAGTATTTTAGCTTGTGACCGTGCATAGCCAATCAGAGCAATATGCGGAAATAACTGTTCAGTGGACTACATATAGGTCAGTAAGAAAACCATAGAATCGCAGCAGCCTGTTCCCAGGCTAAATTCAGCATGGCAGTACGTTTTGAGCTGTTTCGAAGGCTATAGTTATATTTTTACTTTTGAACTGAAATATTTTTTATTTAAGGTAAGAATTAAAGAATTGTAATCAACAATTTTCAATATAATAGTGCATAATCAGTTTAAACGTGCAAATAATTTGTACAATGAAGTTAAGAGCTGTATTTCCAGCAAAAAATTGACTAAAAAGTTTGAATGTGCATGATTCACCTCTTTGCTACAGTAATGTATATTTCTAAAATAATGTGTGTGTTACTGTTGGCAAATGTAATCCATGCAGAATTAATGACAAGTGACAGAAGATTTGCTTCATATGCACACAAATTTTATGAGTATGGATTGACAGGTGACAATATCAGCTATCCTGACTATATGGCATCTAAAATATCTTGCATATGTTGATTATATGGACGATAAATAAGATTGTCAAGCTATCAGTGTGACATCCCAGTTTATATATCAACAATGACGTACAGGTAACAACTTAGTTGACCTATAAAGGAAACCTTTGTTACAGTTATGGAATTACCATAATGCTTGCAAGTGAAATTTATAGAAGTTATTTATTCATGTACCTATTTTTTATTTGGATTTAATTCATTTTTAATAGCGGGAGGCCGTCTACTTTAGTGGGTACCGTAAATAGTAATTTCACGTCACATAATCGGCAAACCCTTGAACATTTACCGTTTTCATCCAATGTTTAATCAGCTAAACAAGATCGCAAGTATATTGTCTCCCTGCTCGAATGCAGCAGCAGACGGCTGGTTACCAGCTTTTGCACGTGCTCGCGATTTGCATGAAAGAGCCGTGTTGCCATGTAACCGTAGTCCAATAACAAATTGTAAGATCTGTTAACTTTAGCACAATTATTCGTTCTTAATTGCATAAATTGAATCCCCAGTTTTGGGGATTTAATTTATTCGAATTTGGCAAGTAGATGACCCCCTCTCCCAAACATCGTATCAAAGAGATGCTGCGCGCACTATATCAGCCGACTTTAACGAGTATGACTCAAGGCGTAACCCACGCATCGCAAATAGTCTATATAGCAAAACCGCGTCGGATTACGTAAATTCACAAATATGTATATTATTTCGAGTATTTCATTTTGCTTTAAACCTATATAGTAATATACATGGTTAGTAAGATTTATCTCGAACATTTCTAAGGTAATATTGTGACAACAATTTTAATCTTTGCTTCTGCATGTGAGATTTCTTTCTCCCTCTCCATGACTATAAGTTGATCGACTATAACCATGACCATGTGCGTACTATAACCACATGACTACTATGACTATGATTACATGACTATCATGACTATATGACTATATGACTATAAGACTATAATTATTATAATTATTATGGCTACATGACAATATGACTACATGATTTTATAGGTATGACTATATATAGAATATTATACGGTTGCGCGGAGATATGAATTTTATAATCGGTTGAAGTTCTTTCTGAGGGAATGTTCAGTATCTCGCTGTCCTCAGAACTGTTGTAAATTGCAAGAAATTCCTTGAAATTAGGGATTTATTACGGAGAGTGAGAGGAAGACGGGGTGGTGTTAAAACGAGAGCAGAGGAAGCAAGAAGAAGGTATAATATTCAAGTATGTGTTAATATGCAGCAATCGTATGCAAATCAAAGAATAAGGCGAGGAGTGAATTTTTCAAACTTAATCAATCTAAGCAATGCTAAATCAAGCGGAACGTCGTCCCACGATAAACATTATTTTGTCCCTACTATTATGCTCTCGAATACTATGTCTCTGGCTCCGAAGGTAGTTGAGGTTCAACATTTTTTTCAACGATATAATGTAGATATCGGATTTATTACCGAAACTTGGTTAAAAGACAGAATTAATGACAGTGTTATTAATATTTCCGGCTATAACATATTTCGGAAAGACCGTATTGTTCGAGAACACGGCGGAGTTTGTATTTATGCCCGAGAACAGATGAAATATGAAATCCTTGAAAATTTACAATGTTGTAACGATCATGAAATTTTGTGGATTAAGCTCAACCCTACGCGTCTCCCCCGAGGGTTTACCTGCCTTATCATCGCTGTCATTTACCATCCACCTGGTTCAGACTGCCATTCAATTATTAATCATCTATTCCAAAATTTAACACTGGCCGAATCCTTATATCCTAATTGCAGTATTGTTACAGCAGGAGACTTCAATCGTCTGAATGTCGCTAACATCAAACGTCATTTCAAACTCAAACAACTGGTTAAGCTGCCTACAAGGGGACAAGTGACACTTGATAAAATTCTAACGAATATGGCCGAGTTCTTTTCACCAGCCGAGATATACCCACCCTTCGGCCTGTCAGACCATAACACTGTTCTCGTGAGACCAAAGGAAAGAGAAATAGGCCAGTCTTCAAGAAAATTCGTTACAGTTAGAGATACGAGAGCAAGCAACAAGGCCGCACTTGGGCGATATTTAAGTAGCATAGCCTGGGCGTCAACTATTAATAGTAAAGACAACTGTACTGGAAAGTTAGATACGTTAACTGACCTAATAAAAATTGGTCTGAATCATATCATGCCAGAGAAAGTGATCAAAGTCCACACCAATGATGCCCCATGGATGTCCACTAAGCTAAAAGATCTAATACGTATGAGACAAGTAGCCTTCTACTCTAACAATAATAGCATTCAATTCAAGTTTTACCGCAACGCCGTCAACAGAGAAAGGAAATTGTGCAAAGCTAAATATTATGCCTCAAAAGTCCAAGATTTGAAAGGGGCCAATCCCCGTCAGTGGTGGAAAGAAGTTAAAAAAATAAGTGGATCCGTAAATAGCATCCAATTGATGAGCAGTCTTAATGTCCCTGGATATGATAATTTGTCCCACAAGGAAATAGCCGATGCTATTAATGCCTCCCTTCTTGAACCTCTGCAGGAGTACAACCCCCTCGATCCTAGTACTGTCAACTTGCCAGGGGAAGAACTAGATGTGATACCAGAGGTGTCGGTCGAACGCGTTTACACCCACCTATCACGGTTAAACAAGTATAAAGCTCCTGGCCCTGATGGACTATCTAACTGGTTGTTCAAGGAGTATGCTGAGATTTTGGCGGATCCAGTTGCTAATATTTTGAATTCATCTTTTAAGGACCAAAGTCTTCCAAGGGTTTGGAAATTGGCTGACGTATGCCCGCTTCCTAAAGTCAAACGTGTCACGAACCCCCAATCGGAACTTAGACCAATTTCCTTAACCTGTTCTCTATCAAAAGTGGCCGAGGAATTCATTGTAGCTGATTACATTAAACCTGCTGTGACCAAAATAATCGATCCCAATCAATTTGGAACAATCCCAGGTTCTTCAACGGTTATGGCCTTAATTAGCATGGTCCACAAGTGGCTAAAAGAGTCTGACGGCACTGGCTCAACAATTAGAGTTTTGTTATTCGATTATCGGAAAGCTTTCGATTTGATAGACCACTCTACCCTTATTGAGAAACTTCGTCAATTGGACATTCCCAACAGCGTCATCAATTGGATCATGAGTTTTCTATCGGGACGATCTCAGAGGGTTAAACTGGAACGGGACTGTTTCTCAGAGTGGGGAGCCGTACCTGCAGGAGTTCCTCAAGGTACGAAGTTGGGCCCCTGGCTGTTTCTGATAATGATTGACGATCTTTCAATTTCTGGAGACCCCTTTGATATGTGGAAATACGTTGACGACACGACTGTATCTGAAGTAATAGCCAAACATAAAGACTTAAGTGACGCACAATCGGCTGTCGATCAGGTATCTGAATGGTAAAAAAGGAACATGCTTCAACTTAACTGCAGGAAATGTAAAGAGCTACCTATTACCTTCAGTCGGTCTCGGAATTTGCCATCTCCAGTCAATGTTGAGGGGTCCACCATTATCCCAGTGAGCAAGGTAAAGCTACTCGGCGTAACGATTAACAGCACCCTTACGTGGAATGATCATATCGAGGAAATAGTAAAGAAAGCATCTCGCAAGCAGTATTTTCTTGTGCAGCTTAAGAGAGCGAAAGTTCCAGCAAGAGAAATAGTCGCCTATTACTGTGCATGTATCCGTTCTGCAATCGATTACGCATGCCCTGTATTCCACTACTCACTTCCAAAATATCTCCAAGAAGATCTGGAGAGGATCCAGAAAAGAGCACTAGCCTGCATTTACCCAGGAAGGCGTTACGAAGATGCCCTATCGCTCGCTGGCCTAGCATCTATACATGATCAACACGAATCTTTATCTAAATCACTCTTTAGGTCAATTGTAAGTGACTCTAAAAACAAACTGCATGCTCTACTACCGCAGAGAAATAACAATGCCAAATATTATTTTAGGAAACGTAGAACTTTTAATATTCCAACTGCAAAGACCAAACGCTATGCTCAGTCATTCATAATGCATAGTAGTAAGCTTTATGATGACATATAGTGAAATGGTGATTTCAATACTTGTATAAAGTTAGTAGTTTAACTGTACATAATCGTAAATTAAGATAAATTTTAGTATTCTTATGTATTATTATATCTATATTGAACGACTTTTATATAATTGTAAAGTTACGCAATTCAGTAGTACCTGCAATGTAACTATCATTTAATAAAACTATCTATCATATATCGTCTTTTTTGTTGTGATTTCGTTTTCTTGTTCGTTGCAAAACTTAATAATGTCGTCCTCGCTTAAATCCACAAACCTTGAACTAGAAGCCATTATATTTCTAAAACAGCGAGAAAGGCGGGAAATGTCATATCACTCCTATAAGCGTGACATACTGAAAATACGCCACTCAAGTCCCGGATGTAAGTGGGGGTGCGAGTACTACGAGCGTTTTACTTGCCAAACCAAAACCCTTATCCATATGATAAATGAGTACATGACTAAATTATTATTATGGCTATAAGACAATTGAAAATCACTTTAGTATTTTTGCGCAAGTGAATAAACAAATCCTACAAGTTGATGGGTCAAATTTGACGTATTAAGACAGCTGTTATATTATTATTAATTATTATTATTAATCAAAATCTTTACACACGGTAGCCTATTCAGTAACTATTAAAAACTAACTTTATATTTACAAGAGGTACTGGTTTTCAAAGGGCCGTGTAATAAAAACGAAATCCTATTTACTATGATACAATACTAAATTAAGGTATAATTAATGTATAATCAAATGATCCAACCAATTAAGCGGTTTTATCAAGTCGCCGTTTGAAAGCGTTAACTGATAGCTCACAGAAATCTTCAGTTATACCATTAGATAATTCGTTCCAGGACTTTGCCGCTCTATATGAGAAGCTTCTTTTTAAGAAATTAGTCCTTGGTTTTGGGAGTGCCAATTTGGTGTTATCACTTCTTAGACTGTAATTATCGTTATTGCACTCAGTAAATAATTGCTGTAAATAATCCGGTCCTTGCCCGGTTAAAACTTTGAATGTCATAACAGTTTCCCTATTTTTTAAGTCATCTTCAATTGGTTTCCATTTAAGGTCTTTCAAGATTTGGGAGGAACGAATATCGTATGTACTTGAAGTAATTACACGCGCAGCTCTCCTTTGTAATTTTGAAAGTTTATTAATTATAGTACATGATCCATCGTTCCATATTGTAGAGCAGTAATTAAAGTGAGGCAAAACAAAGGCATTATACATTTTAATTAATGTGTGTCTAGGAACGAAAGGTCTAGCTCTTTTTAGCAGAACTATACTATTTGAAATTGTTTTGCATTGAACTTCATTGTGTTTGTCCCACTTCAACTTCTCATCGAGGATCATACCTAGTGACTTTTTATAGTATACACGTTTTATATGTCTTTGTCCTAGTTTCAATATTGGGCTATTATGGACACAGGCAAGACGTGATCTTGAGCCGATGAGCATGAACTCGGTTTTTTCATCGTTTAAAGTAAGTTTATTTCCTGTTAGCCATCGGTGGACATTCTCAAGCTCTTCATTAAGTTTGGTTTCAATTTCACTCGAGCTTTGTTCAACACAGGTTAGATTTGTATCGTCAGCAAACATTGAAGGTTTTGACATTTTCAAACTATTTGGGAGATCATTAATATACAGAAGAAAAAGGATGGGACCAAGATTCGATCCCTGTGGAACCCCACATTTAATATCATTTGCAGACGATTTCTTACCATTAATTGAACAAACCTGCTTTCTGTCCTTGAGGTACGATTTAAACCATTCAAGGCTTCTCCCTTGGATGCCATACTTTTCTAATTGAGCTAATAGAATTGAATGATCAACAGTATCAAATGCCTTTTTAAGATCCAAGAATAGGACTCCAGTAAAGAGGCCCCTATCCATATTATACAACCATTCATTTGTAGAACTAAGCAGAGTAGTTTCCGTGGAATGTTGAAAACGGAAACCCGACTGCTGGTCCACAGGAATGTTGTTTATTGTCATAAAGGATTTTAGCTGTTGATATATCAATTTCTCAATTACCTTAGCAACAACGGAGATTACAGAAATTGGTCTATAATTTCCACAGTCATTCCTATTACCGTCCTTGAAGACTGGTGTATACTTTTGCTAACTTCCAGTCGTCAGGGCATATAGCGGTCCGTAATGACAGGTTGAAAATATCAACCAATGGCCCAGCAATATTGTGTGTTCCGTCTTTTAACAGTCTTGCACTAATTCCATCCAGTCCTGAAGATTTTTTTGACTGAATGAGATTTAGCGCATCAATTACTTCATCTATAGTAATGAAGTTAAAGTTAAATTTGTCATCATGCGTAACAGTCATAAAGCTTAGCGGATCAATGTCACCGTCCTTAATTCCTTCGGACAATTTACTACCTATAGTTGAAAAATATTCATTAAAACCGGCAGCAATTTTCTCGTCGTTTATTACAGTTTCGCCCTCAAAATTAATTTCCCTTATTTGACTAGTCTTGGATTTTTTATTCAGAAGCTCATTAATAGATTGCCAGCTTTCTTTGCTATTGTTAGAATTACTTAATTTGGACTTAAAGTAACTCTCTTTTGAAGTTCTAATCAGATTAGTTACTTTGTTTTTACATTTTTTGTAGGCCGTTTCATAGTAGACAGATCGCAATCGGATGGCTTGCCTTTTTAAATAATCTCTGTGATAACTCAGTCGTCTAATTTCGCTAATAATCCACGGTTTAAATTCACTTTTCACACGCCTTTGTTTAATTGGCGCATGTTTGTCCGCGATAGTAAGAAATTTGATTTTAAAATCACTCCAAAGTTCATTCGGATCATTTGAAGCATTCGGATACGAATTAAAAATTTCATTCAAATCATGATTGAACGCGTTCACATTGTATCTCTTGTATTGCCTAGATAGGACAATTTAAGGTAATTCTTTTGGGAGACTAATCTTGCGGCATATATATATACAAGATTGTGGTCACTGATCCCAAGCGGTATGACTCCTGTTTCTAATGTTTTATTATCCCCCATATAGGTAAAGATAACATCAATCAAACTAGATGTTATTGGGGTAACTCTCGTCGGTATTTTAATATGCTGCTGTAATTGATAAATATTCATTATGTCAACTAATTTGCATGTGACTTGGCTTTTTGGCATTTCTAAAAAGTTACAGTTGAGATCACCAGTTATGATGATTTCCATATTTTCGTCTTCAACTAGCTTTAGGAAATTTTCAAATTTATGAAATAAATCGTGGCTAGAGTTAGGTGGTCTATACCATGTTGCAATTAATAAAGGTTCACTTTTTGGCTTTCTCACCTCGATACAAAGCAGCTCAATGGCGTCAGGAACTAAATCTTGCCTAATAATATAAGGTATATTTTTACGAATAAACATTGCAACCCCGCCACGAGACTGGCTATATTAATCTGGCCTATTTTAGAGCCTTTAAGTTTAGAAAAAGGAGAGCTTACAGAGCTTCTCCTACAGGTGAATATAACAAAACCGAAATTTGCAAAATGGCGGTTAGACGCTTTGTGGAAGTTACTGATAAAAAATAAGCGAAATTAAAATGAATTCAGTTCCGAAAAACACAAAAGATTCATGTAAAAATGCTAAAACAATTATTTGCCTAAAGCTTTGTGATTATCGGGGAATATTCACCTCGACTTCATCTCGGTGAATATTCCCCGATAATCACCACGCCTTCGGCGAATAATTGTTAAATATGACTATATAATTATTATGGGGGGGGGGAGGGCGAATAGGTTTTCGGATCGTCGGATTTCACAGAAAAAATTGTCCGGATTTCGGATCTGGCGAATGTTTTACACGGATTTCGGATCTTATTAATACAGCAGATTGCGGATTTATCTAATATTTTGGCTCGGATCGCGGATTTTGCTTCAAATTTGGGCGGATCGGCGGATTTGTATACCCATATTCACCCCCCCCCCTCATTATGGCTTATGACTATATAGTCTATGGCAAGCCAACTGTAGCAATATTCAATAAACACATTCAACGTCAATTCAATGGAAAATTCAACGTCAATTCAATCAAAATTCGATTCAATGGAAATTCAACTTCAATTCAATGAAAATTCAACTTCAATTCAATGAAAATTCAACTTCAATTCAATGAAAATTCAAGTTCAAATCAATATAAATTCAACTTCAATTCAATGAAAATTCAGCTTCAACTCAATGAAAATTCAACTTCAAATCAATGGAAATTCAACTTCAATTCAATGAAAATTCAACTTCAATTCAATGAAAATTCAACTTCAATTCAATGGAAATTTAACTTCAATTCAATGGAAATTCAACTTCAATTCAATGAAAATTCAATTCAATGGAAATTCTACTTCAATTCAATGAAAATTCAACTTCATTTCAATGAAAATTCAACTTCAACTTCAGTGATGGCTGTTCTTTCCCGATGATGATTAGAACCCTCCAAAAACTCACGAAGAGCAAAATGTATTCTTGGAATAAATGTCAAATGAAGTGCAAAACAAATCGATAGGGCTGTTGATGTTAAGTAAACCAGCATCTTCCATTGCATAAAATATATAATAAAAAAAGCTACATACACACCTAAACACATCTCTCCAAAGTCTTTCAATTCTCTGGTTTCTTGTGGAAGGGCCCGCAATAAAACTTCCCCTGCCTTCACCTCTTGCACTCACCATGGCATCGCATACCAATACGTTTTCCACCCCATGGTCAACGCGAATACGTGATGGCCATAGGCCATCTTTCTCAATTGCATTCATGAACAGTTCCAAAACAGTTTGCGAGAGGTTGTTGTTGCTGCATTTCAGGAACATGATTCGTCTTGAAAAACCATCAATGCACCCGTGCACCACAAGGCCCCAACGAATAAGAGAGTGGTGACCATCCAAATGCCACAATGAATTGGGCCACGGTACTGAGTACTTTCTACGGGCAATAACAATTCCCCATCGCAAAGCAGTATTTCGAGGGTCCACCCTGGTCAAACTTTCGCGAACCCTTCTTCTCTGTACTCGTAATCCTAGTGACCTCAAGTAACCTGCTAAATACGTTCGTCCTGTTGTGAAACCATGACGACCTAAATATTCTGCGACTATATCATCTATTTCTGCATCTGATAACAAACTGAACTGTTGCATGTTTTGCAAGCCATATGTCTGGACTCGGCGATAGACAGTCCATCGAGAAACCCCAAAGAACTGAGCAATCTTTTTCCATAAAAACCCAATTCCACGAAGATCTTCCAAGGTTTCTGCAGGAATATAAAATGGTGGTCTACCTGGAGCTCCAGTTCTAACAGTGTCACACTGTCGCACAGAAATCGAAGATGGTCTCAAAGTTTGCGTTTTAAGATGCTCTTGTACTACGAATAATAGTGCAGAAAATACCTGGGCCAAGGCTTCCCATTCAAGCCGATCTTCCTCATTTGACTAGGCAATAGATCTCAGCAGGTTAACAGTTTTATCCACAACTATATACTGAGCTTGTATATGAAATGTATCTGTTGTAGGATTGTCAAAACATTCCTCCAATTTGTCTAGCACCAAGAACAGAATCGAAAGGCAGGTAAACCAGTTTCAATGTCAAACTTGTCAAGTGTTTCTTCTTGATGTTCGGTCGCCATTTGCAATTCCCGGAGTCCGCGGTCCCGGATGTCATAACCCGGAAGTTTCATTGAATTGAAGTTGCATTTTCATTGAATTGAAGTTGAATTTCCAGTGAATTGAAGTTGAATTTCCAGTGAATTGAAGTTGAATTTCTATTGAATTGAAGTTGAATTTTCATTGAATTGAAGTTGAATTTCCAGTGAATTGAAGTTGAATTTCCATTGAATTTACTAGTTGAATTTTCATTGAATTGAAGTTGAATTTCCCGGCATCGAATTGAAGTTGAATTTTCACTGAATTGAAGTTGAAATTTCATTGAATTGAAGTTGAATTTCCATTGAATTGAAGTTGAATTTCCATTGAATTGAAGTTGAATTTCCATTGAATTGAAGTTGAATTTTCATTGAATTGACGTTGAATTTTCCATTGAACTGACGTTGAATGTGTTTATTGAATATTGCTACAGTTGGCTTGCCATAATAGCCTCAATAGAGTGTTTTGGGGTATCTCAATGGATACTTCGAACACAAATATGCATATATTCTGAATTTAAGACCTTTTGTCTGCGTAGATGCCGTAGATGCTGTTCAAACTTCGCTATGTCTTCTACTTTATACGAGTATCTGAGCTCGACACGGAATAAAACTGCGTATTAATTTTCATGATGCAATTTAGGAAAGCCGACTGTAGCGAAAGCGAATTAGCGTATACTGTATTTATAAGCTAACTACCTGGAAGCGTATTCCTTTCTTAGAAAACTTAAATATTTATTTTGACACCTGTGTATATATAGACGCGTACTCCATCTGTTCTTATATCATTATAACAATACTGTTACTTGTTAGCTTCAAGACGAAGGATAAAATATCTACAAGATAACTAGATAGATAGATAGATAGATAGATAGATAGTTTAATGATCCCAAAATTTACAGCCAAAATTGAGCTGAATTAGATTAGGAATTTACAATAACATCAAAAATACAATTAAAAGATCTAAGTACGACTAAACTATGTACAATTACTATAAAAAAAACTGATCTGAAGTCTGTTAGTTTTACAGACAGGAACTTGAAATTTACGAGTATTCCTAAGCTTAAAATTACATTTATTTAACTTCGGTAAAAATCGATATAGTTTATGTTCTGGGTTATTACTAATTTCCTGAAAAAGGTTAGTTGTTTGAGTCTGTCTACGAATATACACTGTCTCTAATTTAGCGAGTTCTAATGCTTCAAAATACGAAACAAATGGGAAAATAATTCTCATGGCGCGCTTCTGTAGGGCTTCAAGTTCATCAGACAAATATTTGGGCAGTGAATTATGGTAGACAGGGCAGGCGTATTCCATGGCGGGCCGAATGCATGTGATGTAAAAGATTACCAGATCCTTATTTGCGACTCTTGCTCTCTTCAATTGTCTGAGGAAGTAGAGTCTTTTGGACACTTTTCGCGATATTTCGAATTGAAGTTGAATTTCCCGGCATCGAATTGAAGTTGAATTTTCACTGAATTGAAGTTGAAATTTCATTGAATTGAAGTTGAATTTCCATTGAATTGAAGTTGAATTTCCATTGAATTGAAGTTGAATTTCCATTGAATTGAAGTTGAATTTTCATTGAATTGACGTTGAATTTTCCATTGAACTGACGTTGAATGTGTTTATTGAATATTGCTACAGTTGGCTTGCCATAATAGCCTCAATAGAGTGTTTTGGGGTATCTCAATGGATACTTCGAACACAAATATGCATATATTCTGAATTTAAGACCTTTTGTCTGCGTAGATGCCGTAGATGCTGTTCAAACTTCGCTATGTCTTCTACTTTATACGAGTATCTGAGCTCGACACGGAATAAAACTGCGTATTAATTTTCATGATGCAATTTAGGAAAGCCGACTGTAGCGAAAGCGAATTAGCGTATACTGTATTTATAAGCTAACTACCTGGAAGCGTATTCCTTTCTTAGAAAACTTAAATATTTATTTTGACACCTGTGTATATATAGACGCGTACTCCATCTGTTCTTATATCATTATAACAATACTGTTACTTGTTAGCTTCAAGACGAAGGATAAAATATCTACAAGATAACTAGATAGATAGATAGATAGATAGATAGATAGTTTAATGATCCCAAAATTTACAGCCAAAATTGAGCTGAATTAGATTAGGAATTTACAATAACATCAAAAATACAATTAAAAGATCTAAGTACGACTAAACTATGTACAATTACTATAAAAAAAGCTGTTCTGAAGTCTGTTAGTTTTACAGACAGGAACTTGAAATTTACGAGTATTCCTAAGCTTAAAATTACATTTATTTAACTTCGGTAAAAATCGATATAGTTTATGTTCTGGATTATTACTAATTTCCTGAAAAAGGTTAGTTGTTTGAGTCTGTCTACGAATATACACTGTCTCTAATTTAGCGAGTTCTAATGCTTCAAAATAAGAAACAAATGGGAAAATAATTCTCATGGCGCGCTTCTGTAGGGCTTCAAGTTCATCAGACAAATATTTGGGCAGTGAATTATGGTAGAAAGGGCAGGCGTATTCCATGGCGGGCCGAATGCATGTGATGTAAAAGATTACCAGATCCTTATTTGCGACTCTTGCTCTCTTCAATTGTCTGAGGAAGTAGAGTCTTTTGGACACTTTTCGCGATATTTCCGATATATGGTGGTTCCATTTCAGGTCACTCGTAATGTTCAATCCAAGTAGCTTGACACATGAAACTTGCTCGACACGCCTGACACATGAAACTTGCCTGACACATGAAACTTGCTAAGCTATAAACTATGGACATGATATGTTTAACTGTGTATTTTGCACGAGGTTTAATCTCCTGGTTAATATTATACACTTAATGTCGGCTCCCGAGGGAAATAGTCAGTTTTGTCTTCCCGGAGAATCTCCAATGTTATCCGAGACAAAGTCGAGGGAAACATTGAGATTCGAGGGAAAACAAAACTAACTATTTCCCAAGGGAACAGGCATGTTATGTGTATTGTTAGATGGGCTTAACAGCAAAAAATTCACGAGAACTCTTTACAATGTATACAAAATTGTAAACAATAAAGAAGCTTCACTCCCAAACGTACAGAAGTACAACTAAACGGCGATAATGGTCACGTTTGCACCAGCAAAAGCCCTAGCATGAAAATTAACTGTCTCTTGGCTGTGAGAGGCGAAATTCTGGATCATTACAGGTGACTGCGGGCAGTTAGTAGTTTGAGTACAAACTAAACCCTCGGACTCATTTCGCGCATCGTTTACTAATGCAAATTCACTAGAACTAGCTGATATTGAGCTGTCAAAGTAGGGAGTGCGCAGAGACTGTGAAATTTGTTTTTGCTTTGACTTCTATGTGTCGCCTGGAGTATGAGCGAATACTGCTTTCGAATTTATGCCCGGAAACACGCATATTGTGACGAGCTTTGAAATTGCACTCGTCAAGAAGCGACACAGCTGTTGTCCTAAACAATGGTTTGTGTACGTTTGAAAAAGTTCTATCTCTTTTGAAATTCTGCTTATTAAAGTACCTAAAGTATTTCTACCAAGAGGGGCATTGCAATACCAGACGTCCTCGGTTTCTTTGAAATTTTCCTTTGATTTGCTTTGGCTTTCTGCTATAAACAAGATAGTTCAGGATTTAGCTTTGCCAAATAAAGTTCGAAAGCCTTTGCTGGACACAATGGGCCGTCTCTTTCATACATACGACTTTCGCCTAGGGAATCGTCTGAGTTGTCTTCATCTCTGTGGTTCTTGTCTAGTTTGTCAGCCGCCTGATAAACATATACTTTCTTGCTGTCGCATCAATATGCACAGCGAACGACTGCTTATAGCGAGAAGTCGAAGGTTTTCCCTTCCTCAACGAATTAGTTGAAACATAATATTAAACCGAACAAACTGCTGAAGACTTTTTGGATCAGGATCAGCAGGATTATAAGACAACTGAATTTTTTTGAGATTTTCCCTCGATATCGCATTATTGTGATGTTGGACACTACCAAAACGTTGTCATTTTAATTTTGCAAATTTTTGAAATTCCTTTTGAGCAAAAAATGTCTCTCAAGACCAAACCTCAATCCTATCAAAGCAGTTTTTTGTAGTTTCCACCATTCTTTTTCCTCGCATTTGGGTAAAAAGTAATCAAAAGTTCGTTCAGTTCTTCCTTCGACATTTCATTGAGATATTCAGTGTTTTTCGGCGGCGATTCGTTATTTCGTTAGGTGAAATTGCATTGCAAAATGCTAAAAGGGTTGCCACAGCATATCTTGTCAATTTTGGGGTGTTTTCCGAAACCTTTTTTCGATTAGTTTCTCAACTTCATCGTTTGATAGACTCGACAAAAGTTGTTGTTGAAGCCATGACTTTAGAACACCGTATTTGTAATGAAATCACTCTTTATTTTCACGTTTATTACAAATGTAGTTTATTACAAATGTAGTTTATTACAAATGTACAGTAAGTTACTTTCACGAGGAAGTTCAACTAACAACACAACAATCCCATCATGTATTTGTCTCTCAGTATTACGTCATACTAATATTTGGATAACATACAGTTTTATATTGAACTCAACACCCTCTGCACAACAAGGGCAAATAATGTTAGCCAATCAGCGCGTTTGTTTACATTTTGCATTCTTGACCAATCAGAATGCCTGAAATTCGAAACATGTAAACAAAAGGAGTGAGAAAATAACACCTTGTTCTACGCCCTCGGTGACATTCGATATTAAACTTTTTTCGCCAAAACTGACAAATTCTGCTAAAGCATGCTTGCTTCTTTAATTTCCTCGGGGGGATTTTTAAAATTCGATCTAGAACGCGAAATATTTATGTTTGAATAACAGTGTTTCGACGCGCGTAAAATAGCAGACTCTCACTTGCACTATCTTTACACACACATAAAAAATTAGTAGATTTGGCAGTTTAAACTTATTTTCCCTACACCACAGCTGACGTGTTTTTAAATATTACCTATCTGATCTCATCGATCTCATTTCGCA